GCAACAACTTTAGATAAAGAAACCTGAGAGAGCAAATGAAGGTGTGAAGATGCAGCTTTTTATGTCAGAGGAGTTTAAACATCAAATTTACAAGTAAATGTCCTTTCTCAGTGATTTCTCACTACTGAAGTTTCTGTCATCCTGTTTGATGTTATGTTGTTCTGAACTTAAAATAACTACTAAATGTCCTCAGAGGTTTTCTATATTCCTGAATTTTAGTCTGATTTAGAAAAGTCCTGGTTTTTAGCTTTAAATATGATCACAACAGAACTTCTAATTTTGATTAATCTAGGGGTTTCTTTCTTCTAACTAGTACTTTATATAAGACAGACTTCTCAGGTTTCCTTGTAAAATCAGTGTGGAATTAACACGACACACTGACCTAACACTAAACTTGCAAAAGCACATGTGCATCTTTCTACTTAGTGCAAGGGAAAAAAGAAGCAAAAACGTGTGATGTTTTTTCTGAAACCTCCATCAACTGTGAGGCAGTAAGAATAGTAAGAAACTAAGGCAGCAGAATAAGCTGGATAAAATGCAGCTTGCATTGGATTTCATAGAAGTTGTTACCAGTAGTCAAAAGTGTTAATATGCAGCAAAACTGGGTGCTAAATACAGTTACTTCTTCCTACACTGTCATAAATAAGTGGCTTTAAACTTGTATCTTAAAATAAGCCAAGGTGCTTCCATGCTAGAAGGAACAATGAAATGGCATATGAATAATCTCAAAACAAGTACAACCTTAAAATAGGACTGTAATTTAAAAATGCACTAAGATGTATTAATTATGTTAAACGTAATCTCATATGGCAGTCTAGTGACAAACTAGCCATGCAGTTCAAGTCTGTCCATGCAGTGCATTTGTTAGCAAATGTTACTATTGTACAGCTATAAAAACCAACTATTGTACACACACAATTCATGCACTTACCAAATGCTTGAAGTTTGCCAGAGTGGAAGTCATTCAAGAGACTCAGAAGTCCCCTTTCCATTTCCTGGACATCTGATACATCTGTGAGAAAAGAATGCTGGATTGGTGCTGCCTGGGCCCCTTTTGCTTCACCTCCTGGAGGTTTGGCTTTCTCTTTTATTACACTGAAAAAAAAAAAATAAACCGAATATTACTTCCTGCTTTCACTTTCAGTGTGAATCTGCAATGTAAGAAAAGTGTACATCTGGGCTTTGAAAATGAAATGGGAAATACATAATACATAATCAGTCTTTTTAAGATAAAAACTGCATCACCACCAGCTTGTCTTAAAAATAAAGGACATCACTCTCCTAACAGTTTGATACTGCAAAATGAAAGATTCCAACAATCTGCTTTCCTACTAATGGTAGGAAGCATCAGTGGACCACATGTATATGATGGCCATCTTAATAATCTAAAGTGGACCATCATTACCCAGCAATGACACATGGGGCAATATCACAGAATCGTTAAGGCTGGAAAAGACCTCTAAAATCAGAAACCAACCATAAACCCAGCACTGCCATGCTGACTTCTAAACCATGTCCCCAGGAGCCACATCGACATGTTTTTTGAACATTTCCATGGATGTTGATTCCACCAGTTACCTGGGCAGCCATTATCTACACAAAATCACTCAAAAAGCTTTTGCACACTCTAAGCCTGAGAGAAACCCCTCAAAAACCATACACTTCTGTTGTCGCAAACACCTACAGACTGCAACAAACATCAGATGAGCCAAAAATTCTCTACAGCCTTTCTTGCAAGAAAACATCACAATTCCTGGATCTCAAACACTTTTCTCTAAAGATAACATTTATTCAGAGCACCATGTGCCCATAGTCTATATGCTGAAACAATCAGCAGTCCAACAATGGTATCTGGTTCAACTCAAGAGCAGCACATGTCAATTTAAGTTTAACTTTAGCTAGTTGTGCTTCAATTTCAGACTTAAAAGTTTGCATGACAGAAAGGTCATCTGTTTTTCCCACCTGCTTCTGCTCTTTAATAAAATGTATTATTGCTCCTGGAAAAGTTACTTCATTAGATTCTTGTAGATTAAATGAAAATTAATTAAATACTTCTCCTCCACTATCACAACAGCAGTTCATCCTCACATTGTTATGTCAATTACCACTCCTGCTGGGAAAGTTCAAGAAATTCAACACAAATCACTTTGGTAAAAAAAGATATGTCATCAAAAATGTTCACAAGACTGTTACAGACAGTCTAAACGTCCTTTAGCCTGTCTGAGCACTGACAAGTCTCTGGCTCTCACTTCCTCTGAGCTTGCAAGCTGCGCCCCGAGCTTACCGTTTCAACTTTGGTTTCTGCACAGCAGGCTGTGGGGCAGGGTTGGAAAAGGCTGTACTCTTACTGACTGGCACTGAGCTTTTCTTGGAGTTAGCAACCTGAGCAGGGTGACTGGTAGACGATTTGGGGCTCCTCCTCTTGATCTTCCTTTCTTCCATTTCTTCCAGTTTACTGCATGTAGACTAATATCTTGTCCTTTACAGGGAAGAGAAGAAAGTAAGAAACATCCATTAAAACTGGCATTTACAATAAAAGCAAGGAGGAGAGCAGCTCATGAAAATACAGCCCTCAAAGATAAGCAGTCACTCGTTCCTGAGAACACGAGAATCCAGTTTTCAGAAGCTGCCCAGGCCTGCAGTAATTAAAATCTTCTGCACCAGCTCCAGCTGACAGGTACCTCCACATGATCTCAAGCTTTGTGTCCCTTGGACTACCGCTGCCGTGGCTGCCAAGCCCACGCCAGTCGAAACACCGAGGAGTGATGTGACAAAGAACCTCCTCCACAGGGAGCGGCAGTGCCCTGGCCAAACTGCCGGTGCCGAGCTGTCGCTGTTACACAGTTGTTACTGCCGGTGCCGGGCCACCGATGGGCGCTGCCCAGCCCTGCGTGTGCCATGGGAGGTGCTGTTATCGGGCGCTGCATCGCCACCTCCTCGCCGGGGAAGCGCCTATGACACCCATTCCCCCGCAGCGGCGGCTGTGGGCACAGCCGTGACCCCCGGGCGCCACCGCGGACCCGCCGCCGCCGCCGCCACCTCCCGGGGAGACGACACCCCTGCCCGCTGGGGTTTTATTACCGCATTTTATTACCGCGGAGGTCGGGACGCCGGCCGTGACCCCGGGAACAGGAGGAAGAGGACAGACCAAGCCCCCCCCCGGCCACACCCCCGCCGCCCGGAGGCCCCGCCCCCCCCGCCGGCCCCGCCCCTACCTGAAGGAAGACCCCGCCCCCAGAGGCGCGGGCGAACCCCCACGGAAGCGGAGCCCGGCCGGGCCCGGCGCGCGGGTCACGTGACTGCTGGTCGAGGTGCATTGTGGGAGCCCCGCCTCCGGCGGGCGGGGCACGGGAACTACAGCTCCCAGAACTCCCCGCGGCGCCTCACCGCCCTCACAGCCCAGGGTGTCTCCCGAAATGTCCGATTTAAAACACAAGGGGAAAACCCCCGCACTGCCGCCTTCTGGTCCTTTTACCAGCTGACACCGTGCTCTCCTGCCTTTGCTTGCGCGATCTCCTGCCTGTAGTTACCGGCCACGACCCGCTCGGTACTGAAAAGGTGTCAGCTGCTTTTGCTTTTCAAGACCATTAATTACCCTGAGCACTGAGCGCCTCAAACGAGTGTCTTACACTGTACGGAAAATCACAGAATGACAGAATTGCTGGTGTTGGAAGGTACCTCTGGAGATCATCCAGTCCAACTCCCCTGCCAAGGCAGGGTCGCCTAGAGCAGGTGACACAGGAACACGTCCAGGTGGGGTTTGAATGTCTCCAGAGAGGGAGAATTTCGTGACCTCCCTGGGCAGCTTGTTCCAGTGCTCTGCCACCCTCAACGTAAGGAAGTTCTTCCCCATGTTTAGGTGGAACTTCGTGCGTTTGACTTTACAGAGCCCTAATCGGGGAGTTGACTCATTCGTAGCCTTCCTTACCGGTGTTTCTTAGCACAAGTTTAAAGCCAGTTGAACTGTGCTTATACAGGCAGCAACAGAGCCCTCCAGCAAATTATCCTCAGACACTGTGAGGTGTCTGAATCTTCAGATGGGGTTAGCAATAGGAATTCTCTCTGAGAGGACATGCTGGAAGAGCTCAGTCCTTAAATGGAGCTACATGGGCTAGAACTTGCCACTGGCTGCCGCAAGAGAGGAGCCCCGAAGAAAAGATACAAGGACTCCCTGAAACAACATCTCAGCCTTGGCCATATTGATCTACATAACTGGTCTACTCTGGCCTCCAATTGGGAGGCCTGGAGACACACCATCTATAACGCTGCTGATGCCTTTGAGAACGCACACAGGATCACTCTCGAGGAGAAAAGACAACGCAGAAAGAATCGTGTCCTGCAGAATATACCACCTAAGGAGTATTTCTGCTGTGCCTTTTGCAATCGGACATGTCTAACTCGTATTGGCCTTATTAGCCACCAGCGTGCTTGTAACAAATGTGGACAGAGCCTTTCCCAAATCTTCGTTAGCGAAGCCTAGCCATGATATGATGGGCTAGAAATGCCACTGGTGGAACAGCAAGTTCAAGATGACGAGAGGACATGGTCTTTAGCTGCACCACGGGAGGTTTAGGTTGGTCATTAGGAAGAATTTCTTCACTGAAAGCATGATTAGATATTGGAACGGGCTGCCCAGGGAGGTGATGGAGTCACCGACCCTGGATGTGGCCCTCAGTGCCATGGTCTAGTTGACAAGGCGGTGTGTTGAGTCACAGGTTGGACTCGATGATCTCAAGAGGTCTTTCCCAGCCTAATTGATTCCGTGACTCCGTAGCTCCGGGAGGTAAAAGCTGGGAGCGGTCGGCAGAGGGACCGTCCCCCCGCGGCACTGGGGGCCGTGCCGGTGTCCCCGCAGTGCCCCCGGCGGGGGTGCGAGGGGGGACGGGCCCCCCGGCAGTGCCGGTCCCTGCCCGCAGGGGGCAGCGCACCCCGCGCTCCGGAGCTCGCCGCGGCCGCTCCTTTCCCAGCTCCCGAGCTCTCCTTGCGGAAGCACCCCGAGGTAAGGCACAGGTCTGATGGACCTGCCTTCATCCCCGCGACAGATGTGCCCAGGACGGCTATCGATCTTAGTTAAACGGGGAGCCCTGCTGCCACGTGTAGTTGGATGCAGCTCTCTGTGTCATTTCCGACCTGGATTCCAGTCCTGAGTCGTTGGCTTGCAGGAACTTAATTTTCAAGGCAGGCAATATTATTGGCAGGGCGTGCCTACCTAGCCTTAGTGATTAACGAGTTCAGCCCCACCAAGTCCATTTCCTGGTGCCGTCTCTATTGCATTTCTGGTCATCACTTGTCTCCTCAGTGGTTGTTGTCACTGATGGCTTTGTGGACTTGAATGGTCGGCATATGTTTCCTAGCTATGGCTGGTAGCCTAAGCTTGTTTTCCCCGTGTGACAGTAGTTTGCTGCCTAGAGAGATGAATTTATCAAGTATCTCTACAACTTGTCTACTTGAATTTCTTCCACCTATAACAAGATCTTAGTTTTCACTTGAGAAGTGTATTGTTCATAACTGTATGTTTTCTGATGAAGACTCTTAGACATTATTCACACACCGGCTGCAAAGGGGGCATAATCTGCATTACCCACAGTGAAAACATCAACCAAAACTTTACTGGTGTTTGCAAGCATATGTCTCAATATGAAGCTATCTCATGGCTTAACAGATGTGCAGCTAGGAAGCATGCCTCTCTCTGTCCAGACCTTAGATGATACCAAGAGAATGATTCTCCAGTTGTACCCTGATCCTGAACCTTCTTATGGATCTTGAATTAGACCTAAGGGGCTATTAGATGGCAGTGCCTCATCAAGACTTGCATAGCATGTTGCAGCTGTGAGACTCAATGGCCACTTTGAGTCCAAGAATGGGAGCTGTCAAAGGGAGATGCATTTGAAATGACTCTCGGGTGAAGGACAGGGACTGCATGTTCACTGAAGGTCACTCTGCAGTGAAAGTAATTCTATGCAACAGGACACAGTTTTGGTCTGAGGAGCTGGATCAGTTCCAGTGCATTAAGATCAGTGTTGTTGAAAGATATCTGTGATAGACCAGTGGTATACTGACAGATACCTGTGGGAATAAACACCCTAAGGGTGTCTGCATGTAAGTAACTGAGAAGAAAGAAATTAATCTCTAATCTATAACACTGGAGATGCATTAAACAATAAGGTGGTGATACAAGACTTAAGGGACAGGTAGAAAAGCCAAAACAGTTGATTCTTTAATACAAATAGCTTCTGATTTCTGGTTTGGCATGCATTACAGGGAAACAAGAGCTAGCAAAATTCACACAGGCTGTAAGCCAGACACAAATTCCCAGCCACAGGCCTGCCCAAGGAGAATCCTCATTTACACACATACATATATATGTATACATATATATATGGAAGACTGCAAAAAGAGGAAAAAGCAAGACTTACAGACAGAATCATGTAGATATTTGGGAGATTTGTATGAGATAAATAGTGTTTCTGCAGAGTAACTTTGGAAATGTTTGTGTTCATTCAGCTCCATTTCTCACATGCTATATGAGCAAGCAAATGTACCCACCTTGCCATTGATATATAGAAGTGGGGTTTGTTTTTCCCCCTGTGATTAAAGGTGTTCTGTGCATGCAGAATAAAGCAAAGAGGTTTGACAGTTTGGATGGAAGGTGACTGGGTGTCCTTTGTTTCTAGCAAAGTGTTTGAAATACATCTGATGGTCTGCTTTTAAATTAAGGGGAAATCTTTCCATTGCTAAGCAATTTTAAAATAAAATTACTTTTATATTCAGAAAGCAGTTGGATTCCACAGTTAAGCCTGCTTCAGTCTAGTCTCTCAGTAGGAGGGATCAAGTACCCCAGAAAAGACATGGAATTAATTTTAGCATGCAGGTAATGCTTTGCTCCAAGTGCATTTCTTATCACTGTAGACTATATCACATTAGAATTATTATTAAGGTGTCTCTGCTACTTGTATATCTGATTTAGCAGAGCCTACAAGGGCAGATAATTGGGAAAGCATCAGACTTTATGTTTTAGTAGTGAAAGTAATTTTATAGTGAATAATTAATTTCTTATAAAAGATAATAATAAGTATTAAATAATCACAGGTCACATGGTCTTTATTTGATATTACAAATCCTATTGCAGATAACACTGTTGCCTTGAATCAAATAAGGATATCATACATTCACCAGGAGGGAGAAAAAAGTGTGGTTTGGATTATCTCCATTTATCTGAGCTTTTGTATAATTTTGTATTGTGGTAATGATTCACAGTCTGGAAAAGGCTTTCTTCTTCCTTTATAAGGCTTTTTCTCTGACAACTCTACCAAGCATTACAGTAGCATTTGTATATACTTGTTGACTGAGGTGCTCCAAGGGTAACAGTGTTGTAACAGCAACAATGTTATTGTTAAAGCAGCAAATTAAAAAGTTAATTGAATCTGATTTTATTTACATGTATATCTCCTCACAAACTAGAGGCCTGCCCTTGAAAGTGCTTTGAAGAAGAACTTCGAAGAAGTGAAGTCTGTACCTTGCACTGAGATATGCATGCAAAATAAAATCAGATTCTTCTTTCTGAAAACGCTATTCAGTTGACATGAGATGGCAAGTTGGTTATAAAGGCTTCCAAGGCAGTGATGAAAGCATTGGGTTCTTTAGCTTCTATAATTAATCTTGGATATATTTCACAGGGTGGCACCTTGTACTCATGGAAGTATGACATTGGCTGCAGCATCACCTTCCAGAAAAGAGCACAGTCTGGGACATACCTGTTCACAGGAAGTAAAGTACTTACTGCTGGTTTGCAAGGAGCAGCATAACAAGGTGTGATGTATCTATCAGCCACCTAAATGTGCAGAACAATGCAGCAGAGTAGAAATTATACATATAATTAATTAACACTGGATTAATATGGATGTAGAATTACATGGGTTAGGCACATGTGTATTCTGCTTTACGGAGTGTTGACAGGTATATCTCAAGAAATGTCACTGAAAACATGTCAACATGTTACATTCTCTCTCTCTCTCTCTCTCTCCCCCCTCTACCACTGGCTAAGTGAGGTAATATAAGCATATATAAATATTTAGACTCCTGTATTATTGCTGATCAGTTTCCACATCTCTAGCATGAATAGTCCATTGAAGTCAGTGCTGTTACACGAGAGCAAGCAGTGTAAAACCTCCACCAGTATTATGTGCTTATAAAGTGTTCTTACTGCAAAAAATCAATACTTGATTAGCTACTAAGACATTAAATACATGACCTGCTTAAAAACTAAACCAATCTTTTGCCAGAATGTGGGTGTTGGATAAATCACCTCCTTGGGCCAGCAGTATGGTGATTCAGACACCCAGAATATAGTAACAACGTGAAGAAGGAGGGAGAAACAGAAGAGACTTGCTGAATCACTTGGAAAGTGGCAGGCACACCAAGAACTAGGCCTCTAGGGTCTCAATGGCCCTGTCCAACTCCACCTGGGACCCCCCACTGCCCATGGGCCCAGGAGCCCCACTTCAGCTCAGCCCAGGGCCTTCAATTCCTGCCTAAGCTAAGGGTCTCCAGCTGTGTCTTCAGCTCCTGGATGGAATCCTGGGATGTATGCTGTGGTCTTGTCTCCAGAAAAAAAACAAACAAACCTGATTTCTTTATATGCATGGAAAATTATTTAAAGAATGTTACTAATGTGTCCACTAGTTACTCTGGATTTCATATTTACAGTGTCATGGAAGTAACAGTGCTTGAAAAGCACCTCTCAAGGTCAAGCATCATAGGGTAATTCATCTTGTAAGAGAAATCATGAGGTCTCCAAGTCAAAGGAGGTCAACCACATGCATAGTCCAGGTTCCCAGGGCTTTATCCAGCCTATCTTGAAAAACTTGCGAGACAAAAACTGCACAAATATCCTGTATCACAGCCTCCTGTCAGGCCAGCTGTGGCTTTGTCTGGCCAGGCCTTGAAAACTTCAAAAATGGAGACTCCATCACTGATGCAGATTACTTGTTCCAGCACTGCATTGCAATCTTAGTGAAGGAGGTTTTCCTTACACAATTTTTAGTTATGTAAAAACATTCTAATATGCTATATGTGTTCAATAGATATAGAAGCTACTGTACAGTTGCATTTGCCCTCCTTTAAATATTTAAATATTTGTAATATGCATTCAAGTTCTCCAACGAAAAAGCACTTTAGAGGTGCACATTAATTGTTTTAACAATCCCAGTGCTCCAGATGGAAAAAGTCTGTCATTGGTTCTGCCAGCACAACCAGTATTTCAGGTACAGTTCCAAACCTAATACAATTTTTCAGACTCTGTCATGGATTTAAAACTAAGATTATTGATAAATGCCCTGGTGGTTCCCTAGTGTATAATGTGTTCTCCTTTAGAATTATTTCAAAAGTGTTTCCATGGCTTTAGATGCTGGTATGTTGTAAAAAGAGTAGGGTTTTCTGAAGGATGATAACTAATTTCCATCTTGCATGATTGTCTTGTTTGGACAGTGCTTTTTTACATGTTAAAATATATTATAATCAAATGATTCCATCTATCAAACCGTTTCACTATTTTTATCATAATAACCTTTCTCACAGGACTCAACCCATTAATAGACTTGAGAAAAGACTGGGATAATATGATACTACTCCTGTGTTCATGTTCAATAGTAGACAATGATGAATTTCATATAAGGTTTTAAAATAAATCAAAATAAATGTTAGGTGTCTTCTTCATCCTTGGGCAGCTTGTTGAATTATTTTTGCAGGTACTCATTGGGCTACTCACTGTAAATATAATGATGTTTACAATCACTCTAAGATCGGCAGCATGGTTTAGAGAATTCCATGAAAGTCAGCAAAACTGAATCCCTGTGAACCAAAATGGAAAATAAATTCTAAACCCAAGACCAGATCAGAAGACATATGACACATGCACAGCTGGGGATGTATTAGTGCAGAGTATGTTTTCTGATGTATATTATGGAAATAATGTGTGGAAAGGATTGTTGGATTTTATTTAACCTAAAATTTTTAACACCTGTTCCTGGCAGGCACCTGCTCTTTTCCCCTTTTAAATATTGAACAGTTTATGATTAATTTAGTACAAGATAGAACATGCAGCTCATAGCACAAAGAACCAAGGAGCATCTTTTGTTTTCTGTAGCTTGTTTTTTAAACTGTTCAGTAATTTATCACAAGAGGAGAAAGACCTTGCAGGAAAAAAACAAACCAAAACAAAAAACCAAACAGTCTTAAGATCACAATTGAAATAAAATACTTGCTCAGTTGTTTTAATAATTTGGCTAAGGGCCTACAAAAATGGTTTTATTTTCTTTGCCAGTGTTTACACTTAATGTCAGTAGGAGGAACTACTGACACATTCTCTCTATGAAGTGCCACTGAACAGTATTACTAGTACAGAGTAACACAGGCATGCTAGGGAAGGTCCAGTAAATAAAGTTTAACTTTTCAAAGCAATTTCAGCTTCACCTGTAGTGTGTACAGCACACACCTCTGAAAGTCATGGCCAAGAATCTCAATGGTGTGAAACTCTGTACAAATTCAGGGAGCAAATAAATGCAATTCCTACCACACAGACCATACAACAAATGAATACAAGACAGAAGAGGAAAAAGAAAAAGGAAGCAATTAGATAGCCTGTACTACATGATCCACCATAATTTTTGTCAAAGGTTCTGCTGGCATCATGGGCAAGGATGAACTCATAGCTTACAGGAAAGAATTTGTAGGTGAACTTTTTTGATGGATAATTTGGCTTCAAAGAAAAGCAGGCGAACTTACAATTTTCTTGTTGAGCCACACAATATAAAACTACCTCAAATATGCTTTTTTTTTTGGTTTTGTAATGGGAAACTCCATATGCAAAATTACAGGTCTCATTTGGAAACTTTAATTCAACTCAAGAAGATCTAGTAATTTTTCTAAGTGAGGCAATCTATGAAGATCATGCCTGCAAAGAACTGTGAAGGCAAGCAGCTAGGCTCCCTTTATTGAATGTGCGAAGAGCATGAAATATATCTCTTGTATTTACAGTTATAGAAATAAAGTTATATTCTAGAAATATAACTTAGATTGTTATCATAGCAATAAAGTAGGTCTGTGAGTTATTTGCAGTCTGCAATTTTTCCTGGTCAGATTTGTAGTTGGCCTCAAGTAATTTCTTTGTGTTGCTTGGGAAATTGAATTCCCTTCCCCCTCTGTAGCTTGGTGGCTGAGTACAAATACAACTGCTTCGATGTTTTAAGAGCATCGAGTGACTGTTTTTTTCCAGGCTAGAAGACATATTGCTGAGAAGTTCCACTGACTAAATGTCTGTTCTCTCAAACAGACATTGGAAAGCATGTTTGTAATTTCATACTCTGTTTTGTTAGATATATACAAATGCAAAACTAAAACCAAACAAAAATCCGTTCCCTAAAGAGAATAAGTGTACACAATCTGTAGAGAAAACTGTTTCCAAGCAATACAGACACTAAATGGTATTCTTAAGTTTTCTTTTTAATATCATTTTACTCCGATAGCTCTAATTAGCAAAGGCAAAAATAAATACCTGAAGCATTTTTCTTTGCATTGGAAATATGAAAGAGAAACAGCAGCAAGAGGTCTCATCTCCAAAAAGGATACCTGTGACGGTGGGCACTGTATTGCTGTGGAATAAAGACGGCCTCCAGAGAAAATTAAGGCTTAAATACATGATGGAATACAGTGGGCATGCAAGCAGCATTGTTTCACTGAAGGCAATTGTATATGGACTAATAGTTAATTATAGTATAGTAGATATTAATGAGAAGGATTCTATTTTAAGCTTTCTTTAAATTAATTATAATAGAATCATGGGTTTAAATAAGACTTCCTTTTAAAGGTATATTAAAAAAAACCCAACTGTATGAAAACCATTGTAAAAAGTTATAGACTTCAGTGGAAAACAACTGACTATATGCATTACATGTTTTGGTTGTGGATCACAACGACTGTGTTAGTAGTCAAAACTGCAGTTGTAACCATCATTAAATGCAAAGCACAGAAAAATTGACACAGCGAAGAGCCAAAGCGGCGTCATTGTGACACTGGTTTTTGGGTTTGTTTGGGTTTTATTTCTTTTTTCTGTCTATGTACAACCAGGGACTAAATTTGCAAACTTTTGGGAGGAGACAAAAATGGAGACTCCAGGAAGGAGGCTCAAATACAGTCAACTTTTTTTTTCTTCCAAAGAAGCTATTCCTGAAAGGAAATAGGCTGAAATTCTTTACACTTTCTTTCACCCCATTTTTAAGCAAAACTAAACAGAACCTTTTTAGCTGGATTTCACTGTATTTAAAAGTTGATTCCTCTGCTATTAAACAAGGAATTAATATGTTTTTTCTTGAACTAACTGAAAAATGATTTTGCTAGAAATGCTTAAAATTGGGCATGTTCATAGTCCTCTAAGGAACGTGTACTCTGCCAAGTCTGAAAACACTTGGAACAGAAAAAAGGTCTGAGTGCATACAGTGCTACATCTTGCATACAGTGCTACATTTTTTTTACTGATTTATGAACAAGACACCGATGCTTAGCTTGTACAGTTTGTCTGATTCATGCAGTGAAATAAACACAGCTGCATTTATTACAGTGATTGTCTAATCACATATTTGGTACCCACAAACTTCTGGGAATATTCAGAGAGCAGTATGTGCTAAAAATCCTAATTTCATTTACTTTCTCTAATATCAGTCTCATTTTATATTTAATATAAGTTTTTGTTTATGTAAGTTAGACATTTTAGTAGTAATGATTCTGCAACAACAGTAATTCAGATAATTTGCACCACCTGTAAAAAGTGACATTGTCATTGCACAGGTCATAGAAAATACAAAGATGCCAGTTGTCACAGGTATTGCTTTCAGCTTCCTAATTTGGAGCTGTATAGATCCTCAGCTGTTACTCTATGTAGTGTAGACTTTACTACTCAATGTAATTTCTAGATAGCCATAATACTGTCAGCCTTTCAAATCATTATTTTGGAATTTGAAAATATTTTCCCATACTTTTTTTATTAGCAATATGCCAGTTTTTGAGACTGACTGTGTATATAAACAAAACCACTGAGTTTTGCAGCATCAACACACTGGATCTCATCACAACCAAGGTAGACGAAATTATGCAGAGGAAAATAAACAAGGTAGCCAGAGACCTTTAATGATCTACCACAGTTGCAAATTCTCCCCAGATGAATATTTTTAAAAGTCAGCTTAAAGCCAAAAGCATTTTTTTTCTGGTATCCTATAAATATCCAAAACATGGATAGTATACTATATATATTTAGAAAATATTTTGTCATTTTTTTTAATCTGAAAATGGAGGGGTGAGTTTAGGCAGTGGTGGGATATGTTGCAGATTGCTGCACACACACCCACTATAATTTCTCTAGTGACTGGTTCAGCCGTGGTAGAGATTCCAGTGACAAGCCATGCTCACGGACAAGGAAGAGAACGGGGAAATCTGCGCTGGTTGATAGATGGTTTATCATGCCCTGCGTTTTTTCAGTGACCAAACCCCGTGTTTTATTTATGAGGCAGGAGCTGCTGCAATGTGTCAAAACTCATTTGTGACTGACTGGCATACCATCTGTATTCATCAACTGAAACGTAAAACAGTGGCATCTTTTTAAAAAAATGTTATATATATATATATATATAGTTTAAACAAGAACTTTGCTGTAGCTGTAGTGACTGGTGGTGGGAAGATAATACCTAAGGAGAAATTCAATTCTGCTTTAGTGACCAGCATAGTCTGTGTGTTTGGCATGCAATTAAGAGGCTTCTGTCTGTTTGATGTATTGTTTGCTCTGAGTCCCAAGGCATTCATTTGAGAAGATAATCAGCCTTGTTAAAAGAATACAATTTCAAGTCTTGTTTGATGAAATTATTTTTCAGACTGTTTTAGGGTTTTTGTTATGATATTTAGTTAATTAATCAAAATGTAAACTGTGCAATTGCTTCAAAGGAGACCACGTATAACACAATCAGAGAAGACATAAATGTGTCTTGGATAAATAAAAATTTTGTAAATAATTTACACAAGATTTTAACATGATCGGTTGTCATTAAAGCTAGGGACAGCAACAAAAGACTTGGGTCAGTATTTATGAAATCTCCATATGTTTAGTCTGATTTTCAGCCAGTAATTCCTGCAGCCTTTGCTTTTCCAGAAGAAAGTTTTCTTGCACAAATAATGGCACCCATACTCCTGTCCTACAATAACTTGCTGTATGCATACCTGTATGGATACTTGGTAATAATGAACAGGTTGCCCAGAGAAGCTGTGGATGCCCCATCCCTGGAGATGGTGAAGGTTGGAGTGCATGGGGCTTTGAGCAACCTGGTCTAGTGGAAAGTGTTTATGTTCACAGCAATAGGGGTGGACTAGATGGTCTTTAAATGTCCCTTTTTGACCAAACCATTCTATGATTCCATGATATTTTGCTGGCTGAAGTCCTTGTGAAGCAGAAACCTAAACACTTTATCAATTAAAAAATCGAATATATCAGAAGTTTTTCTGCCACGGAGGAAGTGGAATTGCAGAATGTACTTTGTTAAAAGACACAGAAATGCTTCCACCAAGTGAAGAAAATTAGTATGGCAACTCCAGGAATATTATTATTGATCCATTGATATAATATTTCAGCAACTTGGTTTCTTTTTGGGGAGATGCAGCTTGGGGTTGTTTCCATTTTCCAGGAACTGGAGTCCTAAAGGCATGTTGGACTCCATCTCTGAGTCCAAGACCTCCATAATGATTGGCAGTCTTCTTTTTGCACTTTACTCAATTAAACACAAGGACCAAAAACCTCTGATGATAACTTTGAGCTCTTAGAGGGCTGTTATGCTATCGTTGTATTTCACAGGCTCTATAAGCTCTTTCATGTTTTTATATTCAGAGCCTAGATTTCCCCACCCTGTTCTGCTTCCCTGGGAATGATCCAACATACTGCTGTGCCTTGAAGTGCAGAGAGTACATTTTCCTGCCATTTTTTTACAGCACATCAGCTGCCTCTTTTCATGCAGCAGAGCTGTGGCAGTTCTACACTGATGATTTCAGATGCTTGCAGAACAAGCTACAGACCATGCATTTGTGAGCAGGAATGGAAGGAAGGAAGCAGGGGTGGGAGAGCTCCTCTTTTAGAGGCAAAGAGCTGTTACACCTGATTGGTGTGTTGTTGAATCATATCCTTAGGCCATCACAACTACCATTTCCTCCATGGTGTCATTCCTGCTGCAGTTAGCTTTGATTGTCCCATTGCACCACTGCTAGCATGGCTTTTATCCAAAGACAACTATGCATAGATAGAAAAAACGAGAAAGAGTTTGAGAGATTTTAAGCTGGTAGAACACAGTGTGCTGACACTAGCACTTGTGTAGATATGCAGAGCTCTGCAGCTCGGAAAAGCTCAGAGGCCAGCTAGCAGAACAACCCAAGGTCTAAACCACAAGCTGGACAGACTTGAAGAATAAGTTTCAGCTTAATGTTAGGATGGAGGAAAGAGAGCAGGGTCAGAAAAATCACTGGGAGTGGTGCAACAGACCACTAATGTTTAAGACAGAGCTCAAGAAAATACTAAACTCGTTTACTATGAAAGTGTGGATACATCTGCTAAGTTCTTTGAATAATAGGGATGAAGGTGTTGGAGTTACACTGCTGCCTTTGTTTAATGGTGATGATAACGTGGTGAAGAAAATCAGCAAAAATACTACAGAACATAATAGAAAAAGGAGCTCAGCTCCAGGCTTCAGGAAGGTGCCTGACCCAGGGATATGTCAGACAAGGAGAACTTAGGGTTGACAAAAGTTTCAAACAATTAATGTCCAGGGAAATAGGATCCTGTAAGTAACCTGTGTCAGAGAGAAGCCTGTCATCATCAGAGAAGTTCCACTATTAGTTTTAAAAGAATATCCATGAGATTCCATTTCTGGACAAGGAGGGAGTCTTTTGGGCCATGCTAGGTATGGATTCCACTACATAAAAATACCAGTTCCTGGTATTGGTAAGCTGGAAGAAAAGTGAGGATTGAAAGTTTAGCTGCATAGTAAGGCAAAGGTGATCTGTGGCCTAATATAGTATCATAGTAATTTAAGGAAACCTAGCAAAACAGCTATGATTTTTTTAATGGTAACTAATTTTATCATTTGGTAATATTTCTGTAATGTACAAAAAGTATGCAGTCATGAGGTACAGAAATAGGCAAAATTCTGGTACCATTTAACTTTCTCAGGAGTCATATCTATTCCCATTTTCTGCCTACCTGTGCTGGTTTAAAGGTAAACCGGCAGGAGAAATGAACCCAACTCCAAAGAGATTATAAATCAGAGTTACAATTTAATAAAAATAATACCATAAATACAATTATATGGACAAACAATTGGTTTAACCCACAAAACCCAGATGTATAACCCAGCTCCCTGGGGCATGAACAGAGTGGTATTCACTGGCCCCTGCCCCATGCCTAGCCTGTGGTCCCCCTGAGTCCAGAGTAAAAGGAGAGGGAAAACCTGTTGGTGAGAGTGCTGTCGCAGTCTGGTTGAGGTTCTAGTCCTTCTCTGGATCCAATGAATGGTACCAGAAGTCTCAAGACCCCAAGATTATACACCCTCAGGTTCAGGCAGGAATGCCCAGTACCTCCATCAGGGCGGGGAGTTCTACAATGGGTGATTGTGAGTCCTGGATGTAAGGACAGGAGCATCCTCCTAATTTCACAGGCCTCTTAATAAGCAGTTTATTGCCTGCAGAGCCAGGTGTACTCCGGGCAACTGCTGTAAATGGTCTATTGTTAGCAGTTTTTGGAAAATGGCATGGAGGGTGTAGAATACACAGTTTGGGTTACACCCACACAGTGATGAACTGGTCCCAGCTGTTCTAACTAGGACACTACCTTACGCAGGTTTCTTTGAGAAAGGTTTTGTATTGAAGACAGAAATGAAATGCATGATGATTAGAAGAGTCCGGTGGCCCAACAAGACTGGGAGCATCCACATACTTTTGGTTAACCAAGAAAGAATAAAATGTCAGAAAACATACTTTTCTTGCAGAATTGCCTCTATTTTAAGCTTACACTAAACTTCTACAGCTCAACAGCCAAAGTAAGTCAAGAATACATAAGCTGACTACGTGCCCAGGACACGGAGCTTGCTTTCTCAATTACAAACCAGAGTTCAATAGAGCTGCTATGAGTGTAACAAAGAAATGTCCTCCTCCATCCCTTCAAGTTGTACTGTTATTATTTCTGTGTATACACTTGGTTGGGTTTTCCTAGCCTACACAGGCAAATAGCAAGCTTGAATCTGTGGGCTAAAATACAATGGATGAGTTTGGTGCCTCCAGCTGAGGAAGAGCTGTCTGATGTTTCATGGTTGGCCATGTGACTCTTGTACTACTGCTTGCTTTTTGCTTCTGAGAGCCCAAAGGGATTGCAGAAGGAAGCCGAGGGAATAGCAGTGTTCATTCTGCAGTAGGTGATGAGTAAGTCCCACAAGACTTGTCTTCTGTTTCTTGAAATAGAACATGAAAGTTATTAGGTCTTTCATTTGGTAATTTACCTTGAGGCTTAAAATGCTGAAGGATGAAAGCTACAATTCAGACATAATGAACTTTCCAGTCAACTTGGACTTTCATTAAAAATTAAATCAATATTGACTTGCAATATTTAGTAAAGTCTCTGTTGTCCTTTTGTCTACCTTTCTCCTTTTCATCTCAGTTTTCTAGGCTCTGTTCCTCTTCTGAGAGGATCTCCCACTCCTGACTGAGGGTATTTGGAGGTGTGAGACCCAGAGCGCTGTGTCACAGGTCTGCCAGGCTTAGCTGCACAAGTGGAAGTGACTGCTGTGCACTGAGCTCACAGACCTCCTTCTCCAGTGGATGCAGCTGAATGGGAAGAAGCCCCTCACTCCCACACCACGACTGACAAAACTGGTGTTGTATGAATGTGCAGGGCTGTGAGCTGCAGGAATGGCTCACTTGAGGGCAGTGGCTTGCTGGACAGCGGGGAGCAGCACTGGGGCTGTCACCCACTCTGGGCAGTGGTGCCTGCCTTGCCTCAGAGTCCCCCTGGGCCTGTGGGAGTATTAAAAAGAGTCAAGAGCATCCTTGCAGTCTGCCAGAAAAGGAAACATTTTTCAGCCATAACCACTCAGCTACCTGAGGGGGGTGGGATCCCTAAGAAAGTCTGTATTTCTGCTGACCTTAGAAATTTTAAATGCTTCCTTTCCAACCTGATGAATACTTTAAATCTCCAACTGTGTAAATATTTAAGCTTCATTTCCTTTCCTATGTCCCTTCCTTTAGCACGGGAAGAAACAAGTTTGAGACCACTCTTTACTGCTTTCAGTCAAACAATATTTACATTTTCTTTAACACCTGTTTTTTTCTGAGTGTTCCATACAGTAACAGCCTATCCCAGAAAAACAGACCACATAAACTAATGAGGAAAAAAGTATTGTTCTGGAATAAGCATACCGACTTTGAATGTTTCAGGAGCATCTATGCATTTAAAATTCAGATTTATTTCTTAACTTGGTTTAACTGGCAGTCCTAAAAAGACCTTATTTTTTATGATACATTATTCCCACCAGAAATATTCAAGCTGTCACAGTAGTTTATTTTACAGTTTGCAAACATATAAACCAGTGAAATAGGTAAAGTAGGTTTCACTAGCAGTGAAATTCCACAGTAGCTGAGGCTCTTTACTGAACTTAGGTGCTGTCTAAAGCTTTGATTTCTTGTTATTATTCTCTCTGTGCTCAAATCTGTTTTAAGTATTTTCTTCCCACTTACAGATAAGAAAATGCAAAAATATTTGCAATATCAGTATTTGATCTGAATTTTCAGAAAAGATTTTAAACTGGCAAATGTACCTTTTTGAAAATATCTATTGCTGAACTTAAAAATTAGTAATTTCCAATCAAACAAACATGCTCACAGTCTTATGATATCTGCCCTGGCAGATGTGTTGCTGTGGGTTCTTTTCAGCTGACACCTGAACTGAGCTCTTTGCTCATTTTCTTTGTACTGTGTTTGATATTGAAGTCCATGTCATACTTGGTTTCCCCATGGTACTCCTATAGTTTAAACAAAACATA